TGCATAATATATTTTCAAAAATATATTTCACTTTAAGAATCTAAAACACGAACGGTGTAGAGTACGTTTAATGCGATAAGTAAAATTCGATGTTCTAAAAAAAAGGGACCTGTCGATTTTTCGCTAGTACATGATATGCAACTTTATATATTAAATATGAAAAACATAATTATATATTTTTACAGATTAACTTTATGGAAGTAAATATATTATGTAACTCGCAATTTGTAAAGGGAAAGAACACTCTGATTAACAATCTTTTTAATGTTTAGAAATATTTAATTTTGAATAACTTCTCCCACCTCAATCCCCATATAATAACACATAAACTTATATGTATAGAGCAGCCCAATCCTCCGGGCTGCAATACAACTGTAAAATGCAGTGATATTGATTGGTTTGTGCACAAAGTGGGTCCTTAATAAAAACGGAATTTGATGGAATTACACTTTATAAAAATAGATTAACATAAAACATATTGGAATAATATAATGTAAATATATCAGTCGGTGTGTTTTAATTTGGTCGGTCGCGTTAGGGGAAAATATTTTTTTTTGTCCTAATTGCAAAATGTATACATATTCTTAGGGTCTTTTGCGTTAAGACGAATACCATTTTTTACCAACGACAATGTTTTTTTAGGTAACACACCGATTGTAAACAAATCCACTATCAGAGATAAGTTATTTTCCAATTCTGCTTTTCCTTGACCTTTTTTCACTTACACAGGATTCGATTATTCAATGAGTTTGGGGTTACTTTCAGATTTACAATGCGAATATTTATCAAAAATTATGGCCAAGTTAAAAAAAAAAATTAAACTCCAAAGTCAAAGTCAAATGGTTAAAGGTTTTGTATCCAATGAAAGGTCTTCTCACAAGGATTACATATGTGAATTATAAAAACCTAGCCCTTTCTATTCAAAAGATATGGTCAAATATAAATTTTTTCATAAGTACATAAATCTTCAAGATCAAGGTCAAAAGGTCAAAGTTGTTGGTATCCAAATAAAGTCTTGCTATACTTATAAATAGAATACATATGTGAAATATGAAAGTCCTAGTACCTACCATTCAAAAGTTATGGCCAAATTTGTTGTTACCCAAAGAAAGGTCTTGTTACAAGAAATACACATGTAAAATATGAAAGTCATAGCTCCACTAAATCAAAAGTTATGGACAAGGTTAAAGTTTTTGTGACGGACAGACAACTAGACAGACTGACGGACAGACGGGCAGACGAATGAGATTTAATGTCCCCTTGCTTTCGCGAAAGCGGGGGACAATAACTGGTGATTATTCCATGATGTTTCATCCCTACATTGTTTTTTAATTATCAGATCGTTAATTTTTCTTGAGGAATGGTTGTATAAAGTGTAGAAAAGTCGTACGTTACACAGACTGACGAACAGACGAATGAGATTTAATGTCCCCTCGATTTCGCAAAAGCGGTTGTATAAGTATTGAAAAGTCGTAGGTTGTAAAGTAACTATCATTTGAACGATTTTGCGATTTTGAAAGTTCTTTGGTGGTGTTCCTGATTATACACTTAAAAACTGAACACGACTTGTTAGTTTGCAAGCGTCATTTTGAAAATACTATCAACGACATCAGCACCGTTGCTTTATTGTCGGTGAATGGTGGCACATGTTCGTGCTGGTTATCTTTCATTCCCTTTCTTTATTGTTTTTTGCAAAATTTGCATTTATTTCTGGTTGTAAAGTTTAACTATCATTTGAAATTTTTAACATTTTTAAAAGTTTTGTGTTGATGAGGACGATGATGTCTTTTGAATTAAAAGAGCTATATATTTGATTTGAAAAGTTATAGTTTGCAAGCCTTTGATTTTGCAAAATACATAAAAGAAAAGCTCAACGTTACACTGAGGAATGGTTGTATAAAGTGTAGAAAAGTCGTACGTTACACAGACTGACGGACAGACGAATGAGATTTAATGTCCCCTCGATTTCGCAAAAGCGGCTGTATAAGTATTGAAAAGTCGTAGGTTGTAATGTAACTATCATTTGAACGATTTTGCGATTTTGAAAGTTCACTACAAAATACACTTAAAAACTAACTGTTAGTTTGCAAACGTCATTTTGAAAATACTATCAACGACATCAGCACCGGGGTATACCCTTCCAATTCACTACACCTAACTGCTTTATTGTCGGTGATGTCGGCGTAGAATGGTGGCACGTGTTCGTGCTGGTTATCTTTCATTACCTTTGTTTATTGTTTATTGCAATTAATTTTATTTGTATTTATTTCTGACCTGTGCAACTGCTGTAAGTTTCTTTGGCAGATCTTACTTTCAAGGTTATATGAAGAACAACTATTTGTGTTGCTACCGAGTGCTGTGCGGTAACCTTAACTTTTGTCATAGCTGATGAACAGTTGGTGCTATGGCTTTCATATTTCACATGTATATTTATTGTTACAAGGCGGCTTTTTAATGGATGTAAGTATTTTTTTCCTTTTGACTTTGACGAGTGCCACTTTTACCAAACTATAACCTTGGCAATTGCTTTTTAACAGTTAGAACTAGAGCTTTTAAATTTCACAGGTATCTTTCTAGTGACAAGACACTCCTTTGGATATTAAATATGTTGACCTTTTCTTAATCTTCGCCATAACATTTGAAGAGTTGGTACAAGGGCTTTTTGAAGAAGAACTATACCGAGTGCTGTGCGGTAACCTTAACTTTTGTCATAGCTAATGAACAGTTTTGCATATCCATTTTGGATGTAAGTATTTTTTTCCTTTTGACTTTGACGAGTGCCACTTTTACCAAACTATAACCTTGGCAATTGCTTTTTAACAGTTAGAACTAGAGCTTTTAAATTTCACATGTATCTTTCTAGTGACAAGAGACTCCTTTGGGTATTAAATATGTTGACCTTTTCTTAATCTTCGCCATAACATTTGAAGAGTTGGTACAAAGACTTTTTTATTTTGCATATGCATTCTTCTGATGAAGCCTTCCCTTGCATTCCATTAATTTGAACCTTAGAACTTGACTTTAGAGGAGGCTGGTTGTCACTAAAATAGAGCTTTTCGAGATGTAGAAGTATCAGAAAAGCTTGCTTATCGAACCTCTCAATGAAATAATTTTCAATTAAAACAAGATTTGTTAGATGAAACTGAGATATATTGAAAAATATATTTTTTGTGAATCTTCTTATACTATAGTTGATACATTTAAGATAAATCTAAGGATCTCTGTGTGTCATATTTATCTGCATCATGGTCACAGAAAAGCTCCGAATGGTTAGAAAAATATTCTTAATGTATTTAACGAATACATCTTTCATTTCAGATCTTACATGCAGAAGATTGCAAGGCGGGCAGAATGCCTATAGCCATATTAAAAGTGTGAATTGATTATTTAAATTAACTTCTAATAATTGAAATTTTTTAAATTATTAGTAAAAAAAAACTTTTCTGAAAGAAAAAATCACATAAAATTATTAGCATATTTATAGCAATAAAAATCCGCATCAATAGCATACATGGTCACAGAAAATTTTAGCATTTAAATCATGTTTGTGATATGACCCGCGAAATGGTTGAAGTACTTCTCGAAAATATTATATATAATGTTGTGTCTAAAATTGTAATGTATTTAAAACCAAAAAATGTGTATTTTATACATCTTTCATTTCAGAGAGAGGTAATACAAAAATTTTGTTTCAGTACTACAAATTTTATTGCAGTGTGTGTAATCTCTTTTTATTATAAGATTTTGAAATGGCATGGACAATTGCTTCAAGTGTTCATAAGAAAAACCCTCAGATGACCATAAATATAATGAAATTCCCATTGTCAATCTTATAAAATTATACAATGATTCTGCTGATAAATTTTTAATTAAATATTTAAACTCCGAAGTATTAAATAAAAGCCATTCAATGACTCTCTATGTAGTTGCTTGCTTATTTTCATAAGATCAACTATGTCATATACACCGAAGTCGTATATGCATAAAAGTATCACGCAAGCCAATCGATTGGTCATCATAAAATTAGTTATTCCTTATATTTACATGCTTTGATTCCGCCAATCCACGTACTCCAAGTCCTGCTTCTGTCTAGTTGTTTGTCCCGCTATGCACGTGTTTTTTTGGAACCGCCCCAATACATTGATGAGGAAATATACTAGTAGTACATTTACAATTTGCAATTTTATCTAGGACAAAGGCATTGGAAATGTAAATAGTCTGTTGTAAAGGATATACAATATACTAATATTAGAAGTCTATTCTTCTAACAATCTAGTATACACTTGTTTATAGTCACAGGATATTTGGACATAATTGATAAAACGTTTTTGTGTGGAAACAAGTTATTGTTTATTAAATCAATTTTACTTTCATCTTTTTAATAACTTAACCCCTTTCTCCGATAACCATGGGTCATGGGGGGCATCAATTTTCATTAAGATAGTTTGAAGATCAAGCATATAAAGTACATTTTTTTTAAAAATTTAATTAATTGGGCTTTCGAAAGGGTGTCCTATACGCTGTTTTACTTTTTTCAATTGTTCAGTTTTGCGTGATGAAAAATATACGTAGCACTATGTTTGTATCTTTTTTAAAGGCATGTGGACCATTGTTTCAGTTCCATTGAAAGTAACTTTAGTTGATAAGTATAAAAGGTCATATATTATTATTGAGTGGTCGAAAACGTTTAAACGTTTGTTTTCTATTTGTATTATATAAATGCAAAAATATTGGGACCTGTGTTTCGACTTCTTGAAAGTTTGATCGCCCAAAAAACCAAAATCATTTCCCACATGACAGACGATCTATACACTATACTTACATATTTTACAGTCAAGTTTTAGGCTAAAACAGGTTCAATATCCTGAAGTGTGTTTCAAATACAAGTATATAGCTCAAAAATCCATCTTTGTTATCAATGGATCTATAGCAATGAAATTGTACAGTAACTACTGCAACCTTCCCAAATATTTCAAAAGAAAAAACTGAAACAACCAAAATGTTCTCATTATATGCTTTAATATAGGGACACTAAGAACACCATTTCAGACTTGAGTTACTTAGTTATTCCATATCCTCCTCTGTATACATTATGTCTTCAGTTCCTCTTTTGTCTTCTTCATTCACCTCTCTTCCGCGAAAATGTCCCTCTGTCAAATAAAATGATTTATACTGAAGATTACTTTTTAAAAAAAATTATGCTCTCTAAACCATACGTTCCTTTCCTTCTGTATGTGATAGATCAATTTAATCATTGCAATTTATCTTTGACTGTTTACACCAACTTGAAATAAGAAAAAAATTAAATAGCTATCATTTTCATAACTACATAAGGCAATCCTACATGTACATTAAGCACGATTTCCTTGGCGCTTCATCGGAAAATGCCGTAACTGGAGGAAGTTTTTTTTTTTAATAACTCTTTTGAAAAAAAAAAACCCTTTTGATGCAATGACCCCGGGGAGAGAATTATTACACTTCCTTAGATATGTAATCAACTGGGTAAAGAAACCTTACTTACTTTTGCAATAATACTTCACTCTAAGGTATTTGTAGGTTCCCACACATGGGTCTCCAAATACACGATTTTTGGCCCAAATTCTGCAGCTACTTTTTCCGTTGCAGAATCTTTTCACCACGAAAGAGGATTTTCTGGATCTACATTTTGTGGTACAGTGGCTGGCACCCTTTCTTGAACAGGTTCTTGAGTTTTGTCGACCATACGTAGCAGAGTGCACCAGAATGTACCGATGTCTTCCACAGTTCAATCTCATTCGGTGATGTTCACATACCGTTTTCGTGTGTACATACTTTTCTGTTATTTTAAGGAAAATTATGCAATTAAGACATATAATAATAATATTTATCCTCCTCGAGCAATATCTCATTGATTTTTTCCCTTGGTCTTGACTATGTAAATGTGTCGTTGAAAACGGGTAAAATCTTCATTTATTAACCACAAAAGTTTAACTATTTCTTTGAAACAAAATTTTTAATTTCAAAATTTTCCATTTGCTTCTACATGTATATATTTTTCTCAGCTCTGGTATTAATTTTTTGTAAGTTATCAACTACCTATGTAAAAGTATTATCTGACCCTTATGGACTTTAAATGAAATGATGCTCAAATGAAAATTGTCTCGTTTTACTGAGCTATTCCATACGATCTCATATTTTGAAGGTATATGAATTCATTAAACTAGTATTTAATTCTTTGTCTGAATCCAGGTAGGGCGAGAAATAGACCAGTGCGAAAATTCAAAGGAGGGCTCAGGTGCCTTGAAGGAATAGGCACCCCTTGTCGACCTGTCGCGAGCCTTATGTATTGATCGGTTAGACGGAATAATCCGTAGTCAAATTTTGTATTAAAAAGTCCTAATAATTGGTATGAAAAATATCATTGAAAATACAACGGATTTTGGTTTTTTTTAAGAAAGACAATTTTTGAAAGCAATTATATATCTTTTATTTAGGAGACGGGATTATCAACATTTATATGCAGATTAAAAATTTTCTTCATTCTTAATTCATTTGTAAAAAAATTATGCAAATCATGTCATTTGCAGCAATCAATACAACATCTTTGGTTTTAGATTTTGATATATTTTATCAAAGAAAGAATAATTTAACAATAACAAATAAAATGGTATGGATTTTTTTTTCTTTCTTGAATATTTAAAATTATTAATAATACTCACTTCTTCTCCACCAAAAACCATCAGTATCTTTAAAATAAAAAAAAATAAATTAAAGTAAATAACATTAACAGAAAATTCGTAAGATGTCAAGATACTAATCAGGTGAATGTTTAACCTGGCATAATTTATAGTTTTTAAAATTTCTCTCTTTCTATTAGAAACATAAAAATTGCAGTACCTTGTATTACAAGAAACACAGCTAGGAGAACCAAGACCTTCCACATTTTTCTTCTGTATGTCGAATGAAACATATATGTCTATCTTATCATATTTATATAATCCTGTAATCAATGAGCGGTCAATTTATTGAAATTTAAGGAAAAAACATTATGACACAGTGTAAATAAATTTCAGAATTTTTTGACGTTTCATTGAATTATCTGTCGATATTTCGTTCTTTCGAACATAAACATCATGAACACATCGATATTACTTTAAATATGTAATCTTTGTCTTAGCGCTAAATAAGTTGAATTTTTTCGCAATTGGCATTTTATTACATTAAATTAGCTCTGAATATAATGATGATAAAACATTGATTAAAAAAGTGTTTCATGCATCTGAAATTTGGGGATGGCAAAAAGCTAAAGATATAGAAAAGGTACATTTTTCATTTTGTTAAAGAATACTTAATGTGAGACAAAATACATATAATAGTATGGTATGTTGTGAGTTAGGTAAATTTCCTCTTGAATTGCTCAAGGAAAAGAAAATCTTTAAATATTGGTTAAAATTTAAAGATATAGTGACAATTGCATTCTTCAAGCATGTCTACAAGAAAGGTTAGAAAATGATGATGAATGGATTGTGGATTGTAAATATTAAAGATGAATTTCATAGGCTTGGTTTAGCAGAACTTATCGATAGAAATTGTATAAACAGTAACACAATTGATATCTTACAGCAGAGAATGTGTGATGAATATATCCAAAACATTATGTCAGATTTAGGTAAATCACCAAATTGTCTCATTTATCAACACCTTGTACATAGATAATTTAACCGTTCAGTCTTATTAATGTAAACAAATACATTTAAAATAGAGTAACAACTAGAGCAAAGCTCGTTGCAAAGCAACGAGTAGGTCTTCCGTTTTCCTGTTTACGTTGAAGTAAAACATTTTTCACAAAAATGAGTAATAATGCCTCAAAATGGTTTAAATCCTCAAAATCCATGTTAATTAATGATAAAATAAGCCATTTCTTGTTACTTCCGGTTTGACCGGAAATGACGACGACGGATGGAAAACTAAGTTTTATGCTCCCATTGACATATGTTACCTAAAACATGCCAAGAACGGGAGAAATTTGCATTTTCTGACTACTTCCGGTTTGACGGTACCGGACGTATTTTGTCGATTCCAATAAATAAAGCTCAACATTTTAAACAACTTTGCTTCTTTGACGTATTACAACTTCTCAATTCTTTTTGAGATATAAAGGAAAAACTTTCGGCCCTTCTAGGCCCTTAATTTTAGGGGCCAGCCCTTTTTTTAAGATATCATATGCAAGATCATGTAATTCTACACTTCTTTTGTTCTATATGTTTTAACAAAATATTTTAGGTGAAAAGATATCGAAGAAAAGGTGTTAGAAATTTTCAAATTTTCGACATGCCCTTTTTCGGACCAAAATAGCGATCGTCGGCTTGCAGCACTTCCGGTGAAAATGAAATTATGTCACATCTACATACATTGCTCTATCACTGCTGAAAAACTCAAGTTTCTATCCTAAGCCGTTTTTGAGAAAACTCGCGGACAAACTGACCCCCTGAAAATCACTAAATCGTGCAAATCTCAAAACCGGAAGTGACGTCATCAAAACAAAAAATTATATATCAGGTTTGATTGATGTTCCATCAGTCCTGAAAGTTTCATGAAAATCGATTGAGCCGTTTCCGAGAAATCGCGTGCACAAAATCGGTAAGAAAAAAACCAATAATAAAAATAGTGGAAAAGAAACCTACGAATAACAGTAAGGTCTTCCGCTGAAGACGGAAGACCTTAATTACCAGATTAAGACTATCTGCGCATAACTTATTGATAGAACAAGGAAGATATAATAAAACTTTGAGAAATAATAGAACATGTAGTCTTTGTCAATTCGGTAACATAGAAGATGAATTCCATTTTGTGTTAAAATGTCCACATTACAACACGTTAAAACAAAAATAGATTAAAACCTACTACTCCCGAAGACCAAGTGCCTTCATATTGTTACATTTACTTAGTACACAAAATATAGAAGAATTATGTAATCTAGAAAAAAACATTTACAATTAGCAAGTGCATTAAGAACTTTAAAAAATTTATAAATTATCGAAAATATTATGTTTTGTACATGTACGTTGCATGTTTATTTCATTATAACATGTGTTAAATTGTGTGATAGTAAATGTATGTCTCTTGACTTCAATAAACTGAACTTGGAACTTTAAAAGATAATTTTTTTATTATATATTTTTTACACTATTTCTTATTCGAAATTAGTGATTCTCATAATTCTCAAGTAAAGCATGTACATGCTGTAATAAATACTTATACATACAAAACAGACTATAGCCTGCTTATCACAGAGAAGTAACATCAAAATGTTGGCTATGTGGGCATAGGATTTTTGAAAATGATGGCTATGTAGGAATAAGATTTTTCAAAATGATGGCTATGTGGGAATAAATCTATGTCTAAATATAGAAAAATCTAGTACGTAGATGACTGTGTTTACGGCGGGAATTTACAGCTTAATATAGGAAAACACTTCACATTTTAGATTATTTCATCTATAGTTTTTCATAACATAGAACTTTCAGTGAACATTAACTTTTTAACGTTTTTAAAATTTTTTATTTATTTTTACATGTTCGAGTATTTGTCACTATCAACCTTTTGTTCGAGAAAGGTTAGAACAATTAAAAGGACATTGGCCAGTGCGCTTTGCAGGGAATTTACCATTATCAGTACCGGTATTAAATGAAACGGTATTTTACCGGTACATGCGGTATTTTCGAAGTAACTATTCGGTACGGTACTGGTACCGTGTACAGGTGTCAAACCCTAACAGTAAGTCAAAGAAATATGTAAGCATCGATCTTTGAAAGATATTCTGTAGATAACACGCGTTAAAATCAAAAATGTTTTAAATTATATGTAATAAAACTATGTCCCATAAACACACTGTTGATGCTACATCCTGGGCATTCCATCTTTTCAAATCAAATCTTGGCTTCTAAATAACAGATCAAAAATGGATCAAAATTAGTAAACCATGTAAAAAATACACTGTTCAAAAATACTTTTTTTTCCTTGACAGCGTCTCTAAACTAAATAATAGAAAATTATGTAATTAGTTTTCGGTCACAGCATCAAGAAAAAATTAAAATCTACATGCATTTGAAATATTGCTCATTAACTTCTTGACGTTTGCTCTCTCTCTCTCTCTCTCTCTCTCTCTCTCTCTCTTTAAAAAAGATATTTCATTAGGCCTACTCATTTCATTACACTTCCATTTTGTATTTTGAAAAAAAATGAAGAAAAATAAAGTATGCAAAATCAGCTCATTTCAAAATTCGAACCCATCCCCATGCAAGCAAAAGAATCTGTCCATCGCCATATCCACTAGAACATTGCCGACGCTTGGAAACTTCTTTTTATTTCATGTACACATTTTGGATTTCGTATGGATTATAAATTTTATTCAATTTTTGTGTTTTTCAAAAATATGCCTTTTTGAGACAGAAATCGTGAGTGATAGCTTTGAAGGAAATTCTTGTCTCTTTGTGCATACATTAAAATTATTCTGTTTCAAGGAGGCACTTTTCAGAACAACGAGGAATCCCTATTGAAAAAGCAGAGAATCGGATAGATTGTGCTGAAAAAAGTGTACATCATTTGCTGAAATTTACTTTTTTTCTTTTAATCTGATACACATTTAGGAAAAAACAAAGAACAGCCATACCCTATTTTGAATTAGAATTTGATTCTTAAAATTTTATGTACTTTTGATTAGCCTTTAATTCTATTGTGATCAAGGTGCATGAAGGTTGTTTGAAAATCCTTCTCAATTATCTAAATAATATTCTTTTACAAATGTTACTGTAAACGATACTGAAATGTTATGGGACAGATAAAAATGCCAATAATGTAGGAAACATATTTTTTTCTTTTAATAAATTATAAATTCAAACAACATATTTTGATCAATAGCAAGACAATATCAACACCGTCATGTGCATCTTACAACAGGTTTTGTATTATATGCAGCAAATTACTTCAGATAAACTTTAGCTCAGATATCATATGTCAAAAAGTCGGTGTTAAGTAACGAATAGTTTGTAACAATACGCTTATTCATGGAGGGGCTTTGACACACGAGGGTGATGTATCGACTGCAAGACATGTTATACAGAAATATCAACCAAATACGACCAAATGTTACTTCCCCTATCGATTAATATAATTGATTAACACTTACGAAGTATTACTTCGTCATATGACATATCATTATTAACCTATAAAAAATTTTAGCAATTAAAATATCACATAATTAATGTGTGTAAAGTGTAACCTTACGATAATTACCGGTGTTGTATAGTAGGATTTCCCCCGAGGGAAAATCTCACACCAGAGCCAAATTTCCCTCTCTTTCTTTCTCAGAGTAGGATTTTCCTCCTCGTTTTAGAGTCAATATAAACCACAGCCGAAATATTTAAAAAAAAAAAAGATTAACGACAAACTGATTTTTAAAAGGTAAATGAGTGGGTTTTTTAAATTTATGTTCTAAGGCAAATCAAGGAATCTCAACCAAGATATTTAGCTTTCAAATGAAATGTAAATATTCTCAAAATATAATGAAACAAAAAAAAAAAAGGGATTTCATTCTAGATTGGTATATATTTTGGACCTATTTTGGTTGTAAATGATTACATCAATAAACTTTCTAAAATATTTTAAAAAATTGTAAACTTACTATGATGTTCTAATTTCCACCTTTCTGTAGACATCCTTATTAATCTACATCATTTTTTTTTGTCATATTAAATCTTCTTAAATCCCATTTTTGTGAAACTTTTAATGAAAAATTTAATTTTCATTTTACTTATTTAAATAGGACTCCAATTGTAATTTTCAAGGTTTTATTTATGTCATCTGTCCTCAAATAATATTTCATATGGGGAAAATTGACTCTTGGGGAAATCGTACTCTATAACTACACAGAGTAGGATTTTCCCCGGAAAATTGACTCTGGTGTGGG